ATAGATGTGTGTTAACTCTTCAGTGTTCTCAGAAATGACAGAAATACTGAAAAATGCTGGCACATCTTGCAGACTCTTACTTTTGAAACAGGCAGTTTCCTAATTCTATTTTTGACTCACTTAGTGGCTGTTCCCTTGGAAATTTTAAAGTTGTTGTCTGGTCTTCTGAAATTTTGGCAATAGGCACCAGAAGAAGCTGTTTTTCTTGTCTCCTGTAGCACTTCATGTTCCATAAAACATATCTCCCTTCCCCCCCCAGTTTATTTAATCTAGTCTTTTCCAACAACAAATATTTTCTCTAGTGGCAGGTCAAAGCTGGTGGCCAGGCTGAGCCCCTCAGGTGTAGGAGTGGGAACGTGAAACTGTGAGAAGTCTCTTAAGAACAGGGAAAGTAAAAATAAATCCAAGTTCTCTGGGTCAGCACACACAGATTTCTTGTGCTGGTGGAGCCTTTCTGGCAGCAGTTGCAGGAGTTCACTCGTTGCACCCACCCACTTGATCAGCATCATCTTGTTGACTGAGCAGCAGTTGTTTTTGTCCAGATGGAAAGTGGTGCCCCATGATTCATCCTGCAAATGTCCACTAACGGCATCCACTTCCCGACATCTGCCCTGCAACTGAGAAAACAGAGAAGTTTGTATCAGTTATGTCCAAAAAGGAGGAAAGCAGAGAGTAAATGCTGTCCCAAAGCCATGGCCTGATTCCACTAATACCCACTGGCTGAGGCAGACTTTCCTTTGTAATTACTTTTGGTTTTATAACTCCAGACAGCAGCGTTCCAGCCTTATAACTGAATTAGAGACTTGCTTTAGAAAGGCATTGTTATTGACATAATGGCCCTGCTTATGGGATTTCTGTCCTTTGTAATTAAAGATTGTTTCATGCACAAAAGCAGTTAAATATGGCAGAAATGTCTCTAAATGCAAAGATATTTTAAATCTTGTTCCTTGTGCAGGCCTTTTTTTTCCCCCCACTCTGTGCATTTGCTTCTCAAATGAGCTGGGCCACTCAAAATTCCGCCCTTTGCCCATTTCATCGAGTTGTCTCATCCATATTTGTCCTCGTGAGATGGCACAGGTAACGCAGTTTGCAGCACAAAGCCTTTAAATTCCTGAAATGCAGTATTTTAGAGGTGTCTTGATTAATGAGGTTTGATCTTCCTCTCCCGTACCTTGTTGCAGAACTGGGGGAGCAAGTGGATTGAGCAGAATGCAAGCAATATGTTCACTGTTACTTCGTCTGTCAGCCAAATTCACCAGCTGGGTGAGAACCTGGCAGATACTTTAAAAAAAAAAAGTTTATATTGCTCCTTGAAATTGTTTTCTCACCCTGGCTGTGTGAAAGTAATTATGGTTGAGGCCCTGGACAGGCCACAGGCTTTCCTGATGAGCCTGGCAACTCATTTGAGCTGTTTGTTTTCTGGGCTGTTTGTTCTTTAAACAGAAAGGCAATTTTTCAATTCAGATGGTTTTGTGCTGCATAAATCTTTGGTGTAAGTAAAGGGATCAGATAATTATAGCCATAAGTGCTACCAGAAAAACCTCTAAATAAACAAATATACTCTCTGGTCTTCTTGGGTTTGGGGAAATTCTCCACCACTATTCCAGGCTGTCTACCCAAGCTGAGGCATGTAAATGCTGTGACTGTCTCCTTATGCCCAAGCATTTCATTTTTAGATTTGGGTCAAGTTATATTCGTCAAATCTAGCAAAAAATATATTTGAGAGTGAAATCCAGCAGCTCGTCCTCCCTCCCTGCTCCCCTCCTTTCAGTTCTTTATTTCTCTTGGCTGAAGGACAGGAAACCCTGTGGCGCTGCTGTCCCTCTGAGCCCATCCCAACTCACCAGCAGTGGCAGAGGCACCGTTCTGCTGTCCAAAAAGTGCTCTTTTTTTCCTCAGACAAAGCAGCTTTTCAGCGAGGTTTCTGCAAGTGCTGTCCCTCCTGTCTGCGAGTTCTGTGTCCAGGCACCTGCAGCTGTTTGCCCCCCAGCCAGTGTTTTCCAGCTGCGTGGGTTCAGTTTGGAAGGTGGTCCCTGATCCCAGCAGAGGGAGTGACTCGCGGTCCCTGCACCACCTAAGTGACCTCATTGCCTATGCATGTGTTAGGGAATGTCGGGTCACTTCCTCGGGGAGGAGAAACGCAGGGCACGCAGATCAAGTATCTGCAAGAGCTTCCTCCTTATCTGAGCCGTGAATAATCTCAGAAACTCTAAATGTTAAATGTGTGAAAATATGGACTAGGTAAGTTCTACAGTCTGTCCTGGGGTAGTGAGGCAACTGCCAAAGTAGGCTGGATGGAAGGATTGGTACTTTGGATGTTGGCAAACTTGGAATAGCACCTGGTTGAATGCTGACAAATAGTGATGTTTGCTTGAGACCTGCCAAACACAGAGCATTACCACGTGGTAAATAAATCATCGTGTGCTCTGTTTCTTGTTCTGGTGTTTTGAGATCTGGAGGCGAGAGTTCCTCGCTCTTAAATCAGAAAGCTGGATCCCAAATCCATAATCTTCAGAGGGGATTTGGCTTGGCCTCAGGCTTAAGGTTTGGTTACTCTGGGATAACAGTAGTGCCAATGCTGAACTGAAACATAAATTTACTCTTGGCATAATGTTAGCTCCCTTCAGGTCCCTTTGGCACCTGGAATAAGGAGCTCCAGGGGATGAGGTAAGGTCGGATTCTTCAGATCCAGCCACACTTTTTTAATGTTGTAAATATTCCTTGTTTCTCTACCAGAGGTTACTGCTGTAGCATCAACATGGTTTATATACCAGGTTCATGCTGCTGGGAGAGATCCCTCTCTCCAGTTCAGGACAGAATTCCTGATCTGTAGTCACAGCCTGTGAATGTCTTGGGTCAGAGACAGCAGAGTGACCAGCACCCTCTCTGGGCAGAGTCAGACAAAGAGCCCAGTTCTAAACACCTTAGGTTTCTGTCTTTGAAATTTGAATTTGATTTATCTTTGCGTCCCCTTTGTGTCCTTCAATTTGATGCTATCTTTGCCGCCTTTGACTCTCTTAAGATCTCTGGCCTTTTTCCTCCTGTTTTCAAACACTGGATTCTCTTCAGAAAGCTTAAGGAAGAGGAATGTTCTTGAGCACTGTTCACTCCTGTCCCTTATTTGCTGTGTTCCAAATAAAGAACAGGTTGACCCTTTTTGGACAGCTCAAGAGAAGTCACTCAGGACTGATTCTAGTTACTTGTGTAAGAGCTTCTGTCTTAATGTATCTTCCTTCCCTGCACACACACAGACACACACACGCACTTTTCCACTTTTTTGAGCCATGATGGAGACAAGGGAAATGTCGCAAGGTGTCCTGGCTGTGACTGCTGGCACTGTGGGGGAGAGATTATTATTACTGTGGAATGTCAAAGCTTCTTGAAGCTGCTTCTGTGTTTTCCTCTGAAAAATGCCTTCTCTCCTTGCCCTTCCTCCCTGGCTTTGTGCTGCATGTTTTTGCTGGATTGGGTCAATCAGCCCAGCCAGGGTTCGTGCTCTGCCCAGTGTCCAGCTCTGCCGTCGGGCTGATGGGATCCCCAGAGAAACTCTTCATCTGCCCTAGGGATTGAAGCACCTCAGTGTTCTGTACGGAGGATACAAATGACTTTCTTGCATAAACCCTCCTTGCTTTGATGAAAATGTAATATTTGTCATTCCCCTGAGTAAGCAAGTGTGCATATGTGTGTGTGTGTGCTGAGTGCCGGTGCAGCCAGCCTGCTTCCGTATGTGAATCATTTCTCAAGCAGCTCTCTGTGTCTCACTGCAATGTGGTTTTCCTCTCAGGGAAGCACTCGAGCTCTGAATTTTCAGTCTGGCTTGCATATGCTGTCAGAAGCTAGTGGGAGACAGTTTTCTTTTTAATGCAGAAAAGAGGACAAGCTTTTACTGTAAGTATTTTAATTTTCTTATTTTTTATTTTTTTTTAAGGTGGGAACTGTATTATCTCTAGAAGGACTCTTGGGTCAGTGGTGTGTTCTTGGAGTGAAAGGACCTGCTTTGCTCAACAACACTTTTTTCGTAGTATCTCACTCTAAAATTAGATTGTTTACACTGTACATTTTTTGATTCAATCAGTGTTAGCAAAAAAGGAGATATGGGGGGGGAGGGCTTAAAGCCATTACAACCACAAGAAGAAATCCTTCCATGAGAGGTGCCTACTGTATTTCACTTCTGCTCAGCCACACAGATTTAGTGACAGAAGGGTTGAAGCTGTTTCTGTGCCTCTTTCTGCTTTCTCCTCTGGCAATTTACGGTCGTTCTCAGCCAGTGAAGTGAAGCAGCAGCACGAGCAGACACTCCTGTGGTGTTGCATGTGCACACAGTCCAGTCAGGAAAGGGCAGACAGGAACAAGCTGCCAAGGGAATGTGTTTGGCAGCTCGAGCCTCTGCAGGGGATCAGGGAAGCGCTGGGGAGCACAGGTACCCTCTTACAGCACCACGGTGAGGAGCTGCTCGGGCTCTCAGCAGGACCCTTTAATTACAGCAGTTTTACAGTTGTCCTTCAAATTGTGCTGTGGACTGAAGCTTGATCGTAATAACAATTGTAATAATAACAGCATTTATATAGCAGGTAATGTGGCAAAGTTGTAGAGATGTTAATTAAGCCCTGTATGTGTAGCAGTAAAGGATGACTGGTAGAACTGGTTTGAAAACAGGGATTCTCTACCCCTTTCTCCTGTAGACAGTTTAAATTCTACATGTACCCTAATAATCCTTTCTGTTTTGGATGATTCTCTTTCTCAATTAGAAAGTGTTCTCTGCCCCTGTAAGCTCAGGAGGAGAGAGGGTATTTGATTTGCTGAAATGGTGTTGTTTGCACAGTTTGACAGGTGACTAGCACACCAATATCCCATCCCAACAGGCACACATGTATGTGCTTCCCCTCCCCTTCCCTGCTCCGTTTAAACCCATTTCACTGCATTATGTAGCCCCACCAAGGTGGGTCATCCAGTCCACCAGTGGCCACCAGAGTCACAGTTGTAAACTGTTGGTGCTGTTCCTTCCATCTGTTCTGTTCCTGCTCGTTGTGAATATTTTTAAAAAGCAGAAGTCCTCTGGTTTCTCCTGCAGCTCTGGGGTTGTGTCCTCATCTCTGCACAGAGCCCTTGCTGTTGGGAGTTCACACTGTCACTCTCATAAACGCTCAGAAAATCCCAGTTTATTAACTTCAAGTGAGCTGTTCTGCACTTTTAATGGGAGATAAATATCTCCTCAAGGGATAGCTTCTGGATCTCAATTATTTCTCTGCATTGTGATGGATGGAAAGTGGGAGCCAGGGAAACATCCCAGCATGTGGCAATCTGTGAGGCTGCTCACTTGCTGCTGTGGAACAGATGTTGATTTATCTCATTTTTTTGCTTCTTTTTCTGTGGGGTTCCTTCCCAAGGCAAATGAGTGAATATACCTTCGCAAATATTCTATTTAGTTAACAATTATCCCATTTTTACAAATGGAAAAACTAAGGCACAGGAAGGTTTGCATGGTTGAGGGGTTGCAACAACCTTGTACTGGAGCTGAGGGTAGAATCAGGTGGAATTCCAAGAGAACACATTGCCTGCAATGTCATCCCTGTGTACTCTGAGGGGACGGGGAGGTTGCCAGTCTGTGCAGGTACCAGTCAGGATAACCATGCAGCCACATGCTGTGCACCCTCTGCCCTTCCAAAAAACCATCATCATTCCCTTTCTTGTAGATGGATCTACCCTCTATGCTACAGAAAAAAAAAAAAAATGTAATGACAGGTAATTATTAGGCAAACCACTTGTAATTATTCTTAATTTCTTCAGCAATTACGTAGCTCTTGCTCTATCTGAAACGCTGCCTTCTTTTCTTCCTTCTTGTGGCTTGGCAGAACATGAAGTGACCATGTGTGTGTCACTTGCTTTGTGCTGTGTTCACTGGGACAGTAGTTCAAAGAAACTGGTTGAGTGAGCAATAGCTGCCTTGAATTGGTTCTAAAATGTTTTGTTCTCAACCTGCAACATACTCCACATAAATGAAACCCATCTATTCAGGACAGTTGTGTTGGGGAAAGCCCTGAGTGACCTAATTCTTTGTGACACAACATGGTTGTAACTTCAAAAAGGGCTTTTGGACTCAATGCATCATTTTTTTTTAGCCTTCCTGAATCTTTCCTTTGATTTCAGTCTCCAAAGGATGGATTTTAGCACTGTGTAAGCTGATATATTTTCCCTGCCTGCCATACATCAAAGTACTGAGGGAGCTACAACTTAAAAAAATGCATTCTCCAAATTCTCTGCTGTGGCATCACTTCCTGGATATAGTTTTGATGTGATTTGATAAAATTGGGAATTCCTTGCAGAACCCCTGTGTATTCCATCCACCACCAGATGCTTTCATGTGCCCTTTTCAGTAGGAGAATGTGCTGCCCCTGCCTATCTTTCTGCCTGTTGCCACCCAACCCTTCCAGTTGTGTTTTTCCTCGTGTGCATCCGTCAGGAATGCGATGAACGTGATTCAGAATTGCCACACCGTTGGTAATTTGTAGAAAATTACAGATAGCTTGGGATTTTTGTCTCATTATCCTGGTGTTTGTAAGATCAGGGGTCATTAGGAGGTGGTGGCACAGCTTCTCTTTGGAGCTGTGTGGTGGTGAGTGGTTAGATAATCAGTGTGAGGAAGGAGGAGGAGGAGCAGATTGAGAATCCACATTCGAACAGGGTAATTTAAACTACAGGAAGAGCATGTTCCCAGACATCTCCAAGTGCAGCTTTGGCTTGGGTTTCAAGCTTTGGTCACTGAGTTGGAGGACAGTTTCAGAGAAGTAGCAAAGGGATCTGTATTTTCCTGCCTTACAAATGGCCAGTAGTGTGGGACAAAGGCAAGAGAACTGCAGCTAAATCCATTCCTTGTCCCTTTGCACACGTGGGGATTTTGCTGTAATTTCTGCATTTTTCTCATGTGACCTAACTCTGAGTGAAAGGCTGACAAATCCAAAACCCCAGGGAGAATTTCTGTGGAGGAGGGCAGGCAGGAGGTTTTTGCACTGCTCTCCATGCCTGGAAAATCCATCAATGACTCTACTGGTTGCTGTGGGAAGAGGATTTCATTTTGAGCAGAGTTGAGACAGGGAGTTTGGCAGTTGCTGACCTCACCTTGGCCATCTCTGGTGGAGTTTAGACACCCTTGTAACCTTCCAGTCCATTTGTATACCACTTACTAAATACTCATTGTAGAGATTTATTGAAAACACACAGAAAAATAAGCAAGAAAAGCCTTAACACAAGATAGGAGCTGGTCTCTTACCAACATAACCACAAATAAAATAATTATCTTGGGGAGCTTCCAAGGGGGTTTCCATGATCTCTGTGTTTCCATCTGGTACCACGGGGGCAAGGAAAGGAACTGGCCCTGCAGGAGTTCATTTTACAGCAGGGGTAGAACCATGTGCCCTGCAAAGACAATTCTCACCTGGTGCCACATTTCAAATGCTCTTTTGAGGTTTAAGAGTTCTACAGAAGCACAATGAAAGCAAAAAGGCAAAGCAATCTGCAACCCCAAAGAGTAATTTTCATATGGGGGTGCAACCTTCAGGCAGCCTTAGCACAGGGAAGGTTTGGAAGAGAGGACTCTGGAGCTGTGTCAGAGCCACTGATGGTCAAATCCATTTCCCAATGACTCGATGGGTGACCGTGGGCATGTAATGTGTCTTAATTTCTGTGTAGTTGTTTTGTATCTAAAATTCATCAACATTTTTTCGCTCCTTGCAAAATCACGTGGATTCTTCAGCTGCCTTGCTATGTTATTGTAGCACCTTTTTTTTTTTTTTTCCCCACTCTTAAAAGTTAAAAAATAATAATAACCACTCTAAACCCACCTTTGCTTGAGGCATGCATGAAACCAGCAGAATCTGCCCTGCTGTCTGGACATGAAAATTTCCCAGTGATGTCTTGTCTGCTGGTACTCCACCAGCAAAACATGAAAATTCAGCTGCAAATGAGATTGGAAAGCAGGTTTGCTGAGGCAGAACCTGAGGAAACTGCTCAGTGTTCGGGGTCAGGGTTGTGATTGATTCCCTTCCTTTGGGCAGCAGAAACAAGAGAAGCCTTAGAGATGAGGTTTTGGGAAATGGGTATTTTTTCTCTATTTTTCGGTTGTGTTTGGGTGGAGGAGGGTGGTCTGGCTTGTTTGTTTGGGGCTTTTTGTGGGTTTTTTAATTTAATTCTAATGACTGCTAAGCCTTGTACCAGCAAAAATCCAGCCAGTGTGTCACACTGGGGAGAAAGGAGCAGATGTGTGAGGAAAGCTGCTGAAGGTGACCACAAGATTAAACAGTTTGGTTTTAGTTGTTAGCTTGATGTTATTTCCACCTGGATTTTTATCCCTGCCATCTATCTGCGAGTTACCTGTGACTGTATTTGGACTATCAGCTCCCCTGCTTTGATTCCTAATATCAGTTAAGAAACCAAGATGAGTCATATGGAAGCATCTGCCAGGCCTAAAAATTGTTGTTTAGAGTTAATTGATGTGAAAGGCAGAAAAGAATTCTATTTTAGCCCAGCTGTCTATCCTGCCATAGCGCTTCCTACGTGCCACCAGAAAATGCTTTACAGTTTACTGAACTTGTTAGATATTTCTATGTTCCAGTTGATAGTTTGTCTGAAAATAGCAGAGGTTGATTAGAAGGGAAATAATATAAGCACGATGCAGATTTTACATTAAAAAAAATAAATAAATCATGGTTTGATTTCACAGGAAAGTGTAATAAAGCTTCTGGAAGAGTCTGACCTTTTACTGTGATGCAAAGTAACCAAATTCCAGGGAAGTGGCACAGGGGACTGGGGGGTTTAAGCCACCAGAGTCAGACTCCTGTCCTTTGAGGCTCTTCGCTGCAAAGCTGGTACTTCTGGCCTCGTTCTTCACAAGTGCTGGGCATTCCCAGCCCTCTCTGAACCTGCCATCTGGCACATGGCTCTCCAGATTTAGTAATGGCTTTTCATACTTCTTTATTTCATTCACTGTCCCCAAGCAGCTTGTTGTGGGACTCTGCTTTAATTTGGCTGTTCTGTTGTCACAAACAGACATGGGCATCAAACCTAAACTGTGTGAAGGACCTGGGGTACAGATGATTTCCATCTCTAGCCCCTCAAAAGGGCTTTTCCTACATAATTTAATTTCTGCAGAGATGCCAATTATTTTTATTTACTTAATAGTGCAACTCCTTGGTTTCTTGACTGTGAAATAATATTGCTCATCATCAACCTCTCTGTTCCTTTTAGTTATTCAGAATAAAATAGCCCTTAATAGTCAGCAGAATGTGTATCCTGTAAGTTTGTTCTACAGAACTGGTGAATTCTTCCTTTGATGGAGAGCCAAGCCTAAAGATCCCAGAGACCTGATGTTGTTTCTGCTGCTGCTGCCTGCCTGTGAGTTAGGATAAAGTCTTAATCCAGTTTTTCCAGCCATAAAATGGGGATTATTCTAGACTGGTTCCAAAAACTTTTATTAATAAATGCATGTAGACTGATTAATAAAGAAGTGTCTAGGTTCCCAGTCTTTAATATAACAGTAAAATTTCAAGTAAAATGGACTGTAAAACTTCTGCCAACTGTCAAAATAACTCCACAGTAAAGTATTCCAAACACCCTTTAAAAATACCAGTAAGAAAGATGAACTGCATAGCATGGCCTGAATTTTTAAGCACTGATGCCTGCACTGAATTCAGAGGATTACTGAGAGAAAAAGCTCTGTCAGGACCAGCTTTACATTTTGGTAAACCCTCTGATTTATCTCACTTGCAGCACCTGTTTCAGAGGAGAAAGGGTGTCCAGACACCACTTCTGAGTGTAAAAGATTTAAAAAACAAACAGACAAAAAAAGTCTGCAGTTTGGAAGTGAGTTGCAACAGGACTGATTTTGCTGCTCTGAAGCAACACATTGCCTTGAGCCATCGTTTATTCCAGCATGGAGTTGCTCCCTTGTGTTTTCAGAGCACAGCTCCAGGTGGGGAATGCTGCAGGGATTTAATTGTGGCCAGGCAGTGATTGTGACCTGCTCTGGCTGATGCTGGAGAAAGGCTCTGAATCTCAGGGTGGTGGTATTCTGTTTGCTTCCTAAGGAAAACTCCCTGTGGAACGTGAAGAAATGAAAAATAAAGCCACAGAGCTCCAGGTGTTGCTTGGAGCGAGTCCTTTTCCATGAGAGGGGACAGAAATGTGTCTCATCTGAAACCTCTTGTGTCAGAATGGGTGTAAAACCGGTGACTTTTGTCACTATTTGCAGAGGCATCTTGGTTGTGTCCCTTGGGGGGGAAGATGCTTCTCTTTCAACTTTCTCTCTGGGTAGCCTGGAGATAACTCCTAATCCCTCTGCGGTCCTTGGGGAAAGAAATGCTGATATTTAGTTAAAATACAGTAGAGTTACTTCAAGACAAGTAGATAAGAGCTGTGTCTGATGTTTTAAAATATAATCTACAATAAGCTGTCCCTGTGTGTGCTGTTCCTACCCCAATATTACAGAAAGCTCTTTGTTAACATTGGGTTTCCCAGTGGCTGAGTGGCTGCAGCCATTTGGGGTATCTAAGCTGTATTTTGGTTGCCAGTTCCTTGTTACTTGCCTGTCTTTTCATAATGCTGACCTTCTGGGTTTCCCCCTGTCCCAACTGGTCACAACTTCCATGGAGCTTTTTTTTTTATTATTTATTTTGTTTGTTTTACTCTAAGGCAATAAATTGACTTTGGAGGAGAGGGAAAGCTGATGTTGACTCTGAGAATGGGTTTCCTGCTCTCATCAAAGAGCAGCAGGACTTTCCCCCACACACAACTGTTATTTATTTTTTTATTTTTAAAGTAGTTTTATTTAGTACTACTCCTGAAGCAGTACTTCTAATAACTCAAAAATGTGTCACCTACTTAGGAATGAAAGCAGCTTAGGATGTGTGCAGCCTGCCTTTATTCTTTGAAGTACATATAAGGCTTGTGGAAAGTCTTGGAAGTCTTTTATCTACAAGGCAAATTCAGCTTAGCCAGATACCTGAGAGGTCTCACCTCCATCTTTTACGAATGCCAGTTCTCACAGAAATCCACAGAAAACTAATAATAATCACCAATAAATCCGGGTATTTCTTCTCAATTTTAGTTTCATCTGCTTGGTGTAGTAAAATATTATTAAACCCACATGGCACATAATTCAGGTATTTTTACATGAAAAAGCCAGTTTGCCTCAGGCTACTGGCTGGATTTCTTGAGTTGTGGGTTGCTTTTTTTTTTTTTTTTAAATACCTATTTCTTCTATCATGTTCTAATGAGCATATCACTCCACTGCAACTTATGGATGTTATGGATGGCTCAAAATTAAATTCTTTGGGATATCAAGGAAGCATCTGTACAGCTTAAGGCAGGAAAATATGAGTTATAGTTATGAGGAAATCCAGAGGGTATAACAAAGCAAAATGTAGGAGCAACTGCTGGATCTGAAAAAAAAGCCAAAATCTGCATAATTTGGAGATCTAATCAGGAAGAGAATTTGCTTGTGTAGTTGCTTGCTCACCCATATAAATGCAGTGAGTGTTAAAAGGCAGTTACAAAGATAAAAAGCCTGTTAAATGATAGGTTTTTAAATACTGTAGAGCACCAGAGTTTGCTGGGGTGGCTCGTGAGCTGTGGGAACACTAAACATTATTATCTATTGTAGTGCAGTTTACATATCTGCCAGGGCTTTAAAACAGCCAAGTGATCAGCATAATCACTAACAAAGCCTCTAATGAGATCAGGGGATGGCTCCACTCTGGATGTGTTAAGAATTTTAATGGAGTAATGACTATACTTAGCAATAACTACCAACTCCTTTATTTCTTTATTTAGGAGCTGAGAGGTTATTGCTGAGGAGAGAGGAGACAGCCCCCCCTGTGAGAGGCACCAAGGACGAGTGGAGGGGATGTCACCTGCTGGCTTTGTTCTCAGGCAAACAGCAGCAGAGCACGTGGCATCCCCTGCTGCCCCTCTGCAGCAAACACCCCCTGAGTGGGCTGTGGTGGCACCTGGACGGTGCTGTCACTGTCCCACACCCCCTGGATGGGCTGTGGTGGCACCTGGACGGTGCTGGTACTGTCCAACACCCCCTGGATGGGCTGTGGTGGCACCTGGACGGTGCTGGCACTGTCCAGCACCCCCTGGATGGGCTGTGGTGGCACCTGGACGGTGCTGTCACTGTCCAACACTCCCAGACATGGGGGTTGTGTCCTGGGAGTTCACGGAGTGTTCTCATCTGTGAATGTGAAATGAAGTACAGAGCAAATGACGAGATGTAAAATGCCCCCAAAGCTCTCCTACTGACTCAGCCAGGAATAAACTGTTCCAGCCCCTCTGTTTGAAGGGTTCACTGCCCAGGCTGCCACCAGCCCAGCTGGACTCCTCCTGTGAGCACTGGGCTGAGCTGTGCAGATATTCTGGTTACCTGTTTAACAGCCAAGAAGCAGGTTGGCCTCTGCCTACACGAGACTGATCCACAGCTACATCCTGTGTCTATTTTGGAAAATGAGGAAAAGTGTTGCTCATCCTGAAGTGGAGGAGGGCAGGAGTTATCAAGCAATCTCCCCTCCCTCCCACTCCCAGCCCAGCAGGCTGCTGGGACTTCAAAAAAAAGATCCATATAATTCTTTTCTTCTGCTCATGGTTTGGATTGGGCAAAGGCTGCTGAAAATTTATGGCTTTAGATCTCCAGGAGTTGAGGGAGCTGTTTAATTGGCAGCTGTCAGCCTGCTGAGAGGAACGGGCTAGTTGTTCCTGCTGGCACATTCAGTGTGTTCAGCTGTATCCAAAAAAAGGAAATTGCGTCTCTTTGCTGATTCCTGGCAGGATTTCTCTCTTGCATAAGCACGTCTCTGAGGAATAGTGGATCTGGATCTTGGTTTGCAGGGAAGTTGATTATTTTTTACCGTGTTTTGTAAATTTGAGTATTGGAAAACATCTCTTTATCACTGTGGCAACATCAACTGCTGCTTCTCTGAAGACTCTGATAAGTTAGAGATTTTATATTTTCCATCTGGGGAAACTCACTTCTCATGTGACTTTTAAATAGTGAGTATTAATTCAGTTGAAAGTGCTGGCTATAACAGTAAAAGAAATAATTTTCTCTTTATCCCAAGGTTGTTTTCAATTGCTGTGGACTTCAGTGTACTTACTCCTTCACTGTGCTTCAGCATTCTCAGGTGTTCTGTGCCTGATAGAAGTCTCTCACTTAGACAGTCACAACAAAAATCGATGTTCCTTCTGTGGTGCTTCATGTTATCAGTCGGTATGAAAAACAGAAGTGGCTGCAGCCTGCTCTGAAGGACTCTCTGGGCTGAGTTTTGGTGTGTATAAGAGAAGGAATCGAGTTTAGCACAACCTTTTCAGCCCTTCAAACTGGTGCCAGATATCTCCATTGCTCTCCTTTCAGGTAACATAAAGACAACTTATATTTTTGTATGAATGTAAATATATTTTTAATATAGATACAAACTTTTTTTTTTTTTTTAGGGTCTGTAGACTGAGTTATTTGGGAAGAAAATGAAGAGCAGTGCCAGGCCTTGGAGTGCAATGGCAAGGCAAGGGAGCCATGGGATTGACAGGGGAAAATCTCTTTCCACCACCTCAACAGGAATGAAGACGTCCAAGTCCTCCACTTCCCTTGCCTTTGAATCTCGGCTCAGCAAGGTACTGACCCACAGGCAAATTCTCAGCTCAGCTGATGGTTACACGTGGAAAGAAATTCAAAGAGATTTATTCATGAATTTCCAGAGTTCCTAAAACCCTGTGCCTCTCCCTTGAAGGCAAAATATATTAACAAAACTTATTACTTGCAGTGGAACAGATGTTTTTTTTTTTTTATGAATTCTGTCTTTCTGTACAAATACATTTTAAAATATACTTTGTTAAAGTATTGTTTTTAAGAAAATGGAGTGATACACCTGAAATGTTGCTGCATCTCTACCTTTGCAGCCAGCAAACAGAAATAACCTGGTCATCTCAATACAGACCAAAGCAGCAGTAACGAAAATAGACCATGGGCTTCCTGCTTAAAACTGTTTCCAGTAGTAAAGTTGAGTGAACAATATGTAACAGGGTGCAGCATTTTAATCAAGAGGAGCTTCAAACTGCATTAATTGTCACAGTTTCTTGAGCAAAGGATTAATTTGTTTAAATTGCTCTGTAGACTCCTGAATGCACTTATCATTTCAGTCCAGAGCTCCAGGCAGGTTGTGTCCAGCACTGGAGTGTGTGCTGTGTGGCTGAGGCACACATCTCTGAAGGAATGCTACTGAAGAGACTAATCAGGAAATCTGATATGATTAATTTGTTCAATTTAGTGTTAAATGTAGAGAGATTTCTTCCTAATGACTGCTAATACCTTCAGGTTGTTGTTCCTCTGCAAATACAAGATCAAAGCGGTTTCCTGGAGGAAAGGGAATAGAAAAGGCACCATGGTTGCTGCTGGAGGAGAGGACACATTGAAGAAATTACTTCAGATAAAGTGCAGAAGGCTCTGGAGGTCAGAGAGTCAGGTTGTTCCATTCTCCTCCTAAGAGTGAGCTGACAAAACCTCTGCCAGAAGGCAAAACGTTCCCTGTTTGGTATCCTGGAGCACATCAACACTCCAGCCATTGAAACTTATGTGCTCACAGGGTCCAGGAAACCACAGGCTCTGAGTCAGAGGAAGAGATGAAAGGGGGAAAGAATTGGAGTTGAGAGATTTGATTTTGCTGAAGCGTTTCACATGCAGGAACCACTTAAACAGGGACAGTGCTTGTTGTGTGCTCTCTTTCCTTTTAACCCCAGCAGTGGTTTTCAGCCTGTGGTTCAGGGACCCCCCGGGTGTCACTGGACAACTTCAAAGGAAATGGGTTTTCATTTGTGGAAACGGTTTAGGGGGTCTACAGACTGAAAAGGATAGGAAAATATACTGCTCTGGGGAGACTCTTCAAAGCTTTCGTCTTAAAATGCTTCAAGTATTTTCCCCAAATTAATTAGAGGCTGGGAAGTCAGCTGACCCAAGTTCTGAGATAAACTGCTACTTCTGCTTGCTGAAGCAACATAATTTTAGTGTTTCTCCTTGAATCTTCCCTTCCTGGTGCTTGTGTTGCATGGGTTCCTTGAGTAGGCACTTGGAGTTCTTTACCAGAAATCCCTTCCCAAAAAAGACCACAGAGCAGCAATGGCCCCTTGTATTCTCATGTGCTATAAAGCTGGGTAAGTTATAGTGATATCTGCTAATATTTTTTTTAAATAATACTGTCAAATACCCTGTAAAGCAAATAGGCTTCTTCCAAGCCTATGAAAGTAATCAGTATTAATCTTCAGAATTCTGCAGCTTATCTGTTCTGAAAACCAATGGATTTTTTTTTTTTTTGCTGTGAATTATTTCCTTAATGAAAGGAAATGAGAAAAACTCATTTTTTGTGAGCAGACTTTTCCATTTCTCTTCTACTGAGTCCTTCAGTCCTTAGTAGAACAACTAGTATTAGGTCCTGCCATGAGATCATCAACCAGAATCTTTGCTCATGACTTTTTAGTAAACAATGAGGTAAAGAGCTGCAATGGTCACATGTGAGATAATGGATTTCCAACTGGCAATTGCATTAGATCCTGCTCTTGTATTTTATTATAAGCCTGAGCATCTCAGCTAATTGATTTTTCAGATTTCAGCTTGATCTCCCGCCTGCTCTTTGCTCATATCACCTAATTTATGGTGCCACGAAGTTTGGTGACTCCTGTTTGTCAAACACAGAAGGAACTGGCAGCTGCTTGTTGGAATAGCTCAGAAGTGTCTTCTGAGGATCTAAAGTCACTCTTGGGGCAAAACTTTGTGAACCAGCAGATCTCTTTAGGAATTTTTTTTTTTTTTTGATAGATTAAGGGCCAGTTATTTGGTGCTTTGGCACCATGTCAGGCTCTACAACTGGCACTTCCCTGCACAGGCCTGCGGAAGGGACTAAACATAAACCAGTGAGGAACTGTGATGAATGCTGTTCAGAGGGAGATCTGAGAAGCCAGAGCTGCCCAGTAAACTACTCCTGTAAAATGTTTTCTCCTTGCCTTTCAATTATTTGCCTGTTTGAGCACTCCCATTTTCACTCTTCTCTGATGAACAGTCTTAACCGACTCCACAAAAATCTAGAATGCAACCCCAAAATTACGTGGTACAGTTATCAAAGCAATCTTCCCATGGGGTTCCTCTATGGAAATGTTCCTTTTCTCCAAGGAGCCCTGCATTTTGAACTCCCTGGTGGGGATATCCGAGGTCCTGATGTGGTTGCTCCCCGTGTGTGTTGCAGCTGAAGCGGGCGAGCAGCGAGGACACGCTCACAAAGCCCGGGGCAGCGGCAGCTCCTGGAGTCTCGAGGCTGAAGAAGACCATCACAACAGGAGCCATTTCCGAGCTTGCTGAGAGTCGACTGAAGCCCTGCACAGGTACATACCCAGATTCTGGAGGACAATCTGCGCCACGTGAGTGAGATCCCAGCGGAGTGTTCCCTGTCGCCCCACAGCCCTGACTTACCTGCTGTGGTGGGGCATGCAGATAACAGGGAGAAGCTGTGGGTTCAACAAGGAGAAGCTGTGGGTTCAACAGGGAGAAGCTGTGGGGTTTAGGAACCGTCAGGGCCCCCCGCAGCAGCCAGGCGGTGGCGCCGATGGCCCGTCCCGTCGGGGCACACGGACACCCAGTCCGGCGCTTCCTGGGATTGACATCCCACGCGGAGCTTGCTTTGTTAGGTTTTCACCATCTATCAGGAGCGCTCTCTCTTCTCCCTCTGCTGAATGAGCGGAGGGCTTATCCCGCTGTTCCCGGGACCTCAGCAGACGTGAGGACAAAGAGCCAGCCCTGTGCACCCTCGTGTGGAGCTTGTGCTCCTGAGCTCCCGCGGGGCTCGCTGTCCCCCCAGCCCCGGGAGCTCCTTCCCGCTGCTTTCCAACCTAAGCCTCTTTCCAAAGGCAGCGACACCATCTGCATACCAAGGGCCTCCGTGCAAACGCTCTGCTTTCTCCCCCCAGGAGCTCAGCAAACGCTTGCTTTTGTCTGCTCCCTGGTGGCATTTCCAAGGGAATGTGAGATCTTATTAAATTTGACCGTGACCTCCCTATTTGTCACAGCTTCGGCAGGTTTTGGCTGCGTGACAGGACGGTGTTACTAACCAGAAAGAGATTTCTGGTAAAACAAACAAAAAAAACCCCAACCAACCCTCCCCACACCACCCCCAAACAACTTTATATACCCCTGGAAGAAAATGATGGGTTTTGTAACAGCACAAATGCTTCACAGTAACAAAAGCACAGATCCTGTCCTGCAGTTAATCGGTGTGTAAATCCTCAAATTTAATAGTGACGAGTCGTATCCAAAGGAATTTGAGATTCATGAGCCAATAAAAGAGGCATGATGCTTGGGAGGAGTAAAGCAGGGGGGGAAAAAAAAACCCTGTACAGATGATGCAGCATGGGATTCTGGGAATGCAGCCAGGGAAACAGCACTGCAGGGAGTCCAGAATGGAATACGTTTGTCAGCTAAAAAATATCAGCACTGGAATAGAGAGCCCTCTTCTGCATGCAGCTAAAATAACTGGGATTGGAGGAGGGATAAGATTTATGATGATGACTCCTTTGAATACAAAGGGTAAAATGGTTTATGGAGGTCAGGTTACAGCTAGGTACTGCTTTGCCAGTTTAAATTACATCATTGGATCTAATCTCATCTATTGCTGCTTTGCATCAGCATTTGTGGAAGTATGAATGGGAATATCAGCGCTAAAAGAAGAGAGTGCACGTGTGGATCTATGTGTATTGTGTATATAAATGCTGAAAATGTTATGTGCTACCCCACTAAAATTCTTTTTAACCCAGACAGAACTGTCCCTTAACTGTCCCTGTTACAGGTATGTGTATGGAGAGATCTGTGTCTTAAATGTCTTTTTTTACAGTGGTTTCATAGCCCAAAAGGGTGGTTAGAGATCCAGCTGTATCCTGAGAATGTCTCGCTGCCGTGCCCACTGAAAGGTGCTTGATATCAGTAAGCCAGGTAAAAAAGCTGAATGCTGCCTTTAGATTGTCCCACCGTGGAAAAAAAATACCAGTAGGCACCCTGAAATACAGTGGATTGTTGCTGAGAGGAGAACTAAGGATCAGTATGGCACAGGCACAACATGTTCCAGGCAACATAAGCAGAAACGGAGAGAACATTTTCAGCTGCTCTGCTATACTTTTTTAATTGAAATGGCATCCCAAATAGTCTGATTGTGATCAAGATGCAATGCTAACTGACTGTGGAGCTAATCCAAGTGAGAATGTTCCAGTAGCTGGGGAATGCAGATGTTTGTGTACATAGCCAACTGTGTAAATCTTGGAGTTTTGTCCTGAAACCACTCTCTTTGGGTCCTTTGATGGCCTTCATCTGTTCTGTGTTTGCCTTTCATGTCTCAACTGCAGGCATCTTGTCTCCCCCTCTGTTTGTGCTTCTTAGGTTGGCCATTCTTTGTCTATTATTCCAGTGAGTGATTTGGTTATTTTACTGAAATGACATTATATCAGTTCCAGCTGCACTCTGGTGGTACTCAGTTGGTATTACGGTATTGTGTGAGAGCAACTAAAGGCAACAGGGTATGGAAATTAAAAAAGCTTAGGTTTCTTTCTTCTTTGGGTGTGACTGTCCACCATTTGTGTGTTGACCTTGAGTGACAGCTCGTGTTCCAGATGCTGCAGGTAATAAATAATTGACCTCAGGATTGCTTGCTTAAATAGAGTTGTTTGCTGCCCTTGGTGGAGGTTTAGTTGTTCATCCCAACCTTTTGTTCTCAGAACTACCCCCATCTGCCTCGTTAGGAACTGACACAGTAAATCATAAACAATTTTAAAGGGGGGTGAGGCCAATCCCATGGATCCATCCTTGGCAAGTGGAGTTGAGCCAGTGGAACTGGGGACTGATTCTGGCTGGAAGTTCTGTGCTCTGATGCTTGGCTTTGTAGTTGCTTGGCAGTTTTGAAATCCCAAGTGATGGGAAATGACATGCAGGGAGAAATAAATGTCCTGTATTCAGCTTCCTTATCCAAAGTGTTATATTTTTCTGTGTGCTGTCCTGCAGCAGCAGTTTGGGTTTATGTTAAAACTAAACTTACAGAGCTTTGTTTTTAACGTCTCAGTAGATGAAAAAGAGCTGGAAAAACTGCAAAACAGGAGGAAGAAGTCACTAACCTTGAAAAATGTTGATTTTTAATGCATATACTTGTAAAGCCATCCAGTTCAAGAAGCCATATAGCAAATAAATGATTGTAAAATGTCTAAGCAGAGAAATGTATATATTCATGAGAAACTAGGACACTCTTTTAAGGTCCAGGACTGTAGGAAATCAATGCCTTTTCAGATTCTGCTCCTTTGAGGTTTGCAAGCCAAATAACCTTAAAAAATGCAATTTCACAGAGAATTTCAAAAGCTTCTTATGTGATCATGTACCTCTCAGGAAGAGCACTGCACGGCAGGACTGGTATGCAAATGGAAAATTTGAGGTTCAGGCAGGTGAAATTACTTTCTCAACGGAGCCCAGAAGTCATTCCAAATCCTTACTCTCAGTTCTGTTATTCAGTCCCTACAAACTCCCAGTTCAGGCACTTTCTGAAGACTTCCCCCGAGGCTGTGCAGTTTAATCATGTTCCTGTGCTTCCCTGGTGCTATTTCAGTGACAGCAGCTCTTAATCTGCCAGGCTGGACAGGAACCAAAAGGAGTCTGCTGCTGGACATCAGAGAGCAGGGACAGCCAGGATGTGTGGCTGGGCTGTGCCACGCCCACGTCATCCAAAAGCCTGGGGAACGCTCCAGCCATTCCCATTTCTCACAAATATATTGATTTTTATATCAAGCTCAGCCAGCTCCAATATGAAGTATCAGTTATCCTTGAAATCCAAGTAACACGGAGCTGTGCTTTGTTTTCTCAGGCTGCTTCATCAGATCATTTCTTCTTTTCCCACATAAAGGCTAAAGCTCTCTAGACCTACTGAATTTGCCTTGGCAACAGCAGGAACCTGTGCAAGACAATGCTATTATCATCACCTAACTCACTATTTATAAACATCCTGGGTATTTTACTGACAAGCTCAGGGTCTCTCAAAAGCCCAAAGCAGAAGAGAGGTGCTTTAACTTCTCACAGAGACTGGGGGAGGTGTTATTTCTTTGGAGGCTGGGAGAAGCCAGGAGGGCCAGCAGGACTGTGAGGGATGGCCTGCTCTGTCACCCCCTTGCTCCATCAGAAACAGCCATTTATTTTCATGTACAAAATGGGAAATTCGACACTTGGCACGAGTTTTCAGCCAAAACAACAAAAGTGTGTTGCTTTGTGTGTTCCTGCAGAGCTGATCGGCGTCCAAGGTTGGAGATGGTGCCAGTGCAGAAGTGCAGAGGAGGCAAACTCAAAGAAATGAAGAGTTTCAGTTATCTCCTCAGCATTTAGTGTCGAGGGTCTGGACTCTGCAGGTTACTTGGGCAAAAGCTGCAGCTGATCCCAGAATGGAACTGTGCAGGTGTTAGGAATGAGGCTGCTCTACAACGTGGGCTGTTGTTTATAAACCCAGTACATTAAATAGGGAAATAAAAATATCAAGAAATTTGGTGTAATCAGGGAAAGCTATAGAAGGGCCTGATAGTTGAATTCTCTTGTGGCACAGTTTAGGATGAACAATGTTCAGCTCCAATAAGCTGTTCAGCTCCATCTGTTTTGATGAGTTTTTCTGTGGAACGTCACCCACCTTCCTGCCCAGTTGTCAGAGTTAATATCCCACTGACTGGATATGATACCTGTGTATCTTCTATTCCATCCTAGTGCTGGTAGAGCACACACCATTAGTCCATTTGTCCCTCACTGTTTGCTTGTCACGTAGTTTATGTGAAAAGAAGAATTTTCGATTTTTCTGTGTAGGTAGTGGAGATACTCAGAGGCTTTAACTGAGTGAGAGCAAGTGGAGTTGGGAAAGAATGAGTATCACTTGTGACACTTGTTCACCTGGGGTGAATTTCAGAGGGTCCATGGTGTTCCAGTCAGTAGATACACTTCTTTCCCAGCAAAACTGAGAATGTGGCAGGCTACGGGTTTCAGAGCTTCCTGATGTTTATAGAATTGTCATTTCAAGCTTGCTATTTGAGAATAATGTATATGGACTTTATCACATTTACTGCCTTCTTTCAGCCAACTTCTCTGCTTGGAGAGTGTTTGCTACTTTCTGATGTGGGGTAAAAATGTGAAGCTAATCCAGACCAGAAACCTTCTTTACCTGCCCAGAAAATTCAAGACAGTATTTCTTTAGTAAAAGCTTTCTTAAAAAAAAACCAACCAAATCCTTGAAAATATCTAATTGGCATTTTAGCAGTTCATAAGATGCTAATGCACCCCAATTAGGACAGGAAAAAGGAAAGTGATTTCTTTTGAAGGACAGCTC